TTGCCAAGATTATCGCAACGTCTCCGCAAGTGCTTGGCTATAGCATTGAGGCAAATCTGAAGCCAACAGTTGAGTGGATCAAGGGGGTGGGCCTGAGCCAGTCGCAGGTTGCCAAGGTGATTCTCGGACGTCCGCAAGTGTTTGGCTATAGCATTGAGGCAAATCTGAAGCCAACAGTTGAGTGGATCAAGGGGTTGGGCCTGAGCCAGTCGCAGGTCGCCAAGGTGATTCTCGGACGTCCGCAAGTGTTTGGCTTGAGCATTGAGGCAAATCTGAAGCCAACAGTTGAGTGGATCAAGGGGTTGGGCCTGAACCAGTCGCAGGTTGCCAGGGTGATCGCATCGTTTCCGCCTGTGCTTGGATTGAGCATTGAGGCCAACCTCAAACTGAAACGTTGCCTTTTGCAGAAGTATTTTCCTGGAGGGGAGGCGGAGGCTTTGCTTGCGCAAGCACCCCGCCTTTGGAGCTACAAGTTCACTCGACTTCAGCACCGTCTCGGTGTCTTGAAGTCCCAAGGTCAGCTTTCGAAACTTGCAGGTGCCATGACGATGTCACTGGATGCCTTCAACCGCAGATTCCCCAAGCCAGGAAGCCGCAAAGATCAGGCTTGCGACGAAAAGTAGCACATTCTTGACTGTCTGTGGAGCTTTGTTGAAGACTGCACTAGCCAATATCGGAGTACTCGACACGTGCTTTCCCTTCGCCGGAAGGCACTAAACTTGAGGTGCATAGCTCGAGGACCGCAGACTTGGGAACACTCAGAGTGGGAAAGGCGTCACGCCTGTATGGATGCTGGTGCGGTCGTCGTAAGGATTGGATCCATGTTTAGGCTCTGGGCTCTGGGGCTCCGTATGTCAAGCTCCTGTTCTCGTAAGTGTGTGAGACGGCTCGTACAATCTAGCCTCGCCGGATGGAGATCAAAGACCGGTGGTCGTGATTTTATGACTCTGATGATAGCTATGCTGGAAAAGTTCGGCAAGCTGCCCTTGACAACATTGGTGGCTATCTGAATAGGCAGCCTGGCTGTATCGAATCCCCCCGCACACCCCTCGCCGATCTACATCGCATGCATCTGCGGCCGGCCACAGAACCAGAGTCCCCGAACAAGCCCTAAAATGGTTGACAGCTGCAGCACGTGCTGATGATTCGCAACTTGCATAGGCCTTCGAGAAAGGCATTGAAAGTTTGGGGTTCACGGTCTATGTAAAGCTGTGGGTGGAAGTTGGAGGTGTGTAAGTCATTGGGAATCAGCCGGGCAGATCTTGCTTCTGCAGGCTGTCGGCCCTGGAATCACGTTGGTCAATGCGGCTGGACGAGGAGCTTTCCATTACATCCACGGAGACCCTTCATTGATTCAAGGAGCATCCCTATCCTGTTCCCGGGCTTGCTGCAGTGGTTTCTTCCGTTGCATTTGAGCGCAGGGAACTCTGAAAGACCTAGCTCAACCTCCCGCGATAAGTGTAAGACCCAAGACTTGAAAACTTGTCCATCATATGAAAGCGTGAGCTCTGAGTTCTAATAGGCCCTTGGTGCCATCGCTGAAACTTGCTGTCCAATAGCACGGTCCCAATCTCGTTGAACCCCCCAAACTGTACTTGGTGTTCTTGCGGCCTTGAAAGATTTTACCTCGAAGGATTCGCATGGCGTCGGTGGGGACTTGGCATTGTCTTTCAAGCACACAAGTGACAAGGACGAGGGGTTACTTGGTTTTCACTGATCCAGCTTCCTCAGACGTTGGCTCAGGCACATGATCGCAAGTCTAGGGAGCACCGCCGTCAAAGCCTCGCAAGCGACCTGAAAAGACATGCACAGCCGCAACAACAGGAAGCCCTAAACCTCCCAAACCCTGTAGGACACACGAGGATGATGCAGGCTTTGCTGGCACTTTAATTCAACCGACGGTAACATAGAAGCCGAAATCATTACCAATATTATTCTTTAGGGTTCCTTACTATAACTATACTATAAAGGTGCCGAAAGCACTATTCTGATTATTGAGGCCCCTACATTAGCCATGGCCGAGTCCTGGCGTGACGTTGTGGCCGACGGCCCAGTCCCGAGCGGCAAGCATGAGGGTGTTTGGCCCCTCGGCTTGCCAAAGATAAACAATTTGCGAAACCTGCATGTGCTACACCCTTTTTCTAGGAAAACTAGGTTACCCGAATCAGAATCTAAAGCTTAATCAACATGCTTTCCTTATCCTGGGGACTTGTATGAAGAAATTCCTTGACAAGAATCCCCTTCTACCGGGAGTGACGTGATACCTATCAATGAGTAGGATATTCTAGGGCTATGGAATCCGGCGGCTCTCCATCAACTCTTGATTTTGGATACAAGTCCTACACCCCATGGGCATTCCTAACGACAGCACCGAACGCGTTTTAATCGACAACATCAAGAACCCGAGCCTAATTCAGTTCCAGCAAAGGAAACACCAAGCGAAGCACCTCAGCACCTTAGGCCCCTAGACGAGCACAACGTCCGCCTGCTGGACGCGGTGCACCCGCGCAGTTGGCCAGCACCTGCTGCAGAGGCCTCGTTCCGGGTACAAACTCTTCAGGCGGTTGGTGGGGGTATGGAGTTATCTTCGCCTGCCGACAGTGCTGACGGCACCTCTTCAAGCATATTTCCTAAATCCGAGATCCGGCACAAACAGACCAGGTGGGACTTGGGGCCCTTGCAGGGTCCGCTCCCGGCCTGCTAAATCCTTTTGCATAGAGCGCTTTTGCCCTTTCGGTCGACAGTGCTGGCCAATTGTTTGAACATGCGCAGTGTAAGAGCGAAATTCATGCGACCATGTCTCTCTAACGGCAGCGGGAGAACATGTGTAGCTTTGTCACACATGACACCTCAAAGCAGTAGTTGCCATTGGATTCCATTCGTTCGATGCTGTGTGCGACAAGTCCCTCAGGGTGTCATCTACGACCTCGTAGCCGTGGGCGCCGGGTCCGGTGGTCCTTTGGGCGCAAAGCGGGTGATTCAGGGTCTTGAGTTCTTCGGGGTTTTCTGAGGGTCTGGATTTGTGGATCTAGTATGTTTAGGGTTTAGGGTCAAGGATGCCTTGCTTGTGGAGCCGGGTGTAAGGCTCTGGCTTATTTTCAACGCATTGGCAACCTTTTAAGGCCCCACTTAAGACTTAGAGCAATACTGCCTACGCTTCCAAGCAGACCGCAACTTGGTCCTCAGAAGCTCGAACCCGATAGCTGTGAGAACAGCAGGTAATGAACGAATAGTGGGGTCTGGGGCCCCAGCAAACCCCTAAACCCTAAACAGTCCTGTCCAACCGCTCGAGGCTTAGTCTCGGCGAAGCAATCAGCACGCCGTGGTGCCCGGAGTGCCCTCATCGAGCAGCACCTGGCCGGCGGGGACTGCTTCTGGGTGTGTTCATTTGGGTTCTTGTCAAGGAACTTTATTGAAGTTACTATAGTTTAAGTTACTTATGTAGGGACCGATAGTAAATAGTGGGGTTTCCTTAGCATGGTAACTTAAATTCAGTCCCCAGTAGTGGGTTAGGAGTTGGAGCTTGGGGTTTAGAGTGTAGGGTTTTGGGTTTTGGAGTTTTGGGTTAAGGGTTTAGGGCTTATAAGGCTAAATTATAGCTCGTAAGACTCTCGTCTCAGGTTTGAACGTGGGCTGCGTGCCCTCCAAGGCTCTGCTGCGATGTGCACGGGCCGTGGCCGAAGCTCGCAGGACCGAACCCGAAGACCCTGTCCTTTATCTGCCCTTCAACCCTAAAGCCCTTCAACCCCTAAAGCCCTAGGCCCTAAACCCCTTAAGCCCTAAACCCTAAACCCCTTAAGCCTCAAACCCTAGACCCGTTAAACCCTAAACCCCTTAAGCCCTAAACCCCTTAACCCCTTAAGCCCTAACCCCGAAAGCCCTGTCCTTGAATATCTGGGGGTCCTTCTAATCTAGGGATCGTGCTACTTTGCTTCTGTGCTAGGGCCCCTTACTTCGTGAGAGAAACCCAACTGGGATGCCGCAGAGCCGCGCTCGAACCCTGGACTTCCAGTTTTCTGCGAGGACCTTGTAGAAATGTTCTCACATTAGCTACAGCAGTTCAGAAGTCTTCAGAAAGGAGTGTGTCAAGGCTTATATGCAAAAAGGCTCTTTTTATTATGGACTGCTCGCTTTTGGGATCGCACATTTGAGATATAAGGGCCGCTGCAGGACGGATTTGGGCTTCCTGAGCGAGTCGCAGGAGCCCGGGTTTTGGGAATGGCTTAGTGCTTCGGGTTTTTAGGGGCAGGGCTTGTAAGGCTTAGACAAGAAGGGGTAGAGTACAGCAGTCAGGGTTGACGGGTTTAGGCTTGGGTGTTGGAGTTTACAAACCCTAAACCCTAAACCTTAAACCCTAAATCCAAACCCTAAGCCCACAATGCTGGAAGTTGGTTTTGAGCTTTCAGGTTGTTCTTTAGAGGCTCGGGGCTCCGAGCTAGCCTCAGGCTGTAGGACTTAGCATTCACATGATGCGACAGCCTCTAAGGGGCTGAGTAGATAACCTTTGACCTGTTTGGAGCCTTTATAATCCTACTGTAATCAAAAGGTTAACCTTTTTTGGGCTAGGGCACTCAGCCCCTAAGGCCTTGTTACGTCTGCTGAGAGATGTCCAGGTACAGGCGCACTTCGCGAAGGTCATGGAGCGCATGCGAAAGCTTCGGGCAGACATTGCTCCAGTCGACTCGCACGAGACATCCAAAGCTGTCGGCGTCGATGTCTACATGGGCACGGCCACCTTCACTGGGAAGCACGAACTGGAAGTTGGAGGCAAGACGCTGCGCTTTCGCAAGGCTGTCATTGCCACGGGCGGTAGGGCCAAAGTGCCCCCAATTCCAGGTTTGGATCAAGTGCCCTACCTCACGAACGCGTCGTTGTTCAATCTGTCCGAGCTTCCTCCGAGGTTTGTCGTGGTGGGTGCTGGACCGATTAGCTTAGAGATGGCACAGGCATTCCAGCGATTTGGGAGCGAAGTGACGGTTTTAGAAGTCGCACCGCAAATCATGGGCTTGGAAGATGACGATGCCGCCAAGCTGCTGCGCGAAGTACTTGAGGAAGAAGGCATTCGAATCCACACTGCATGCAAGATCTCCGGCATGTCTTCGACTTCAGCAAAAGCACCCAAGGAGGGGTGGCCGGAGATCCGCATCAACATCTCTGTAGATGGCGTGGAGAGCACGGTGGTCGGCGATGCCCTTCTCATTGCTGCTGGCAGGGTGCCTCGGCCGTGGAGTTCCAGTGGAGCCGTGTTTCTCTTCCTTGGGGGTCAGGTCAGAGGTCTTTGCAGTAGGCACTGGGTCACCTCGGCAGTACTTACGTAATTTTGGCAGGACGGCCCTTACCGAATCCGATTCCGCACGTCCGCAGCCTCGAATCCCAGACACACCCCATAACCCTGATCCCTCAGAGCCGGCCTATAAGTACAATATTTCTGCAACCATCTGTAAAGCCTTGAGCTCATCAGCCTTACGACGCTTAAAACCTTAAGCCTTGAGAGTTCAAAAGAAGGGTTCCTTCTGTCCTACGCAGTTCAGCTTAAACGTACCAAGAAGTCAGATGACTCAGGGCAATTGCGCCAGATCGTGGCTGAGCTATTGCTACACTATTCCTCATGGCTCCCTACATCGCATTCTCTCACGTTATGCTGTAGCCCAAACCCTTACTCCACCTGCCAAGGCCCCCTCTTTTCACCTCCAACCTTCGATCCGAGGTACCGAACGTGGAGGGCTTGGGTCTGGAGACTGCCGGTGTGGAGTACACCCCTGGCGTTGGCATCAAGGCCATCTACTCCGGGTGGGGTTTAGGGTTTAGGGTTTAGGGTACACCCCTGGCGTTGGCATCAAGGCCATCCTTCTACTCCGAGCGGGTTGTCGGTTGAGGTTTCCTAAGCCCACTTGGAGGATCATGGGACTTAGTAAGTAGGGTAGAAGCGCTTAAACTAGGGTGATAAGACCATAGCGACCTTACTCATAACCCTACTTCCCGTGATCCTCTAAGCAGGCGAGGAGGGGGATTGCAGATTCCCTGTTCGAGCCTAGGGGATCAAAGCTGGGGGATTCAGTTTCCGGCTCCGGGGTTTAGTAAGGGTCTACCTCGGAGCATGGATGTGTGCTAGACGGGTTCAGGATCTAGTCGAAAGCTCAGGGCCGCTGCCCGATGAACATGATGAGGACGTTGAGTGCAACGGGTTTCGGGTGCAGGAGCTTCCTTCCCCGGATTCCTCTACAAGAAATCATCCTGCCGGGAGTATTCCTTAGCGGTTTAGGGAGTCTCCGTGTTTAGGTCCGTGTTTAGGATGGTAAGCCGAGGTCAACGACGATCTGACGACCTCCAACCCCGACATCCTCGCCATCGGCGATGTCATCGAGCGGCCCGACACGCGATTCACGCACATGTCGGGCACCATGGCCGGCATGGCCGTCCAGACTGCCCTGTTCCCTGACAAAGGCCTGCCAGTCAATGCTCCATCAAGGATTCCTGGCTGTCTCCTTCAGAATGACTTTCTTCTTCAGTTTCGAGTGGTCGGAAGGAGGTATGCAAGCGGAAGCGTGTTACCAAGATCGCTAGCACCAGCACTGGCAGCTGATGCACACCGCAAACAGTCACTACCGTCTTCGTCATCCTGGGTGTCGATGTAGCAGCAGTCATCTAGAATCCAGGTAGGCCTTTGAGTCATATTCTATATGTTTTGCCGTATTGGGCGTAAGAATGCGTAAGAGGATCTTATTTGCGAAGTATTGCTCAGGGGCTTTAAAGGGGCCAACCTAGTAATGATAAGCTCTGAACCACTAGAGCCCAAACCATCAAGTCGAACCCTCATGAGGGTACTTCTCTAAATGAGGGTCCCTTTTTAGATCC